GAGAGAGAGAGAGAGAATAATGCTACGGAAGCTGTGCGGAACATGGTAATAAAAGTTGAGAAGTTATCAGAGTGACGCAGAAATATGTCGCAAGACGTCCGCGTTTTTCATCGAGTACGGAAATATTTTTATCCACCGTCACGGGGCGAAATATTAAAATCGCGGTCGGGCGAAGCCCTTTTTTACAAAGTTTTCATTTCCATTTGTATCGGAGCTCATCGCGTAACGCTCGCGCGAGCCAAGTCATAAACGTTTAAAACTTGATTTATCTCTCGCTCCGCGTTCATCGCAATGAGAACAAATTCGCCGCCACTGCCACCGCCACCGCCGCCACCGTCGTGGCGAACGCTTTATTACAGCGCGAACGCATCTAGCACGCCCGCACCTACGTAATTGGCGCAATTCCGTAAGTGTTTCCATTCAATTTTCTTTTTATTACGTGCTCGCCAGCCGCCTGCCTCCCAGCGTGCCTCGTCGCACGCGGTACTTTACCCCCCCTCCCCCCTCCCACCCCGTGCGTCGCGGGATACATCACGTTGTTTACGGCCGTTTTGACACGTTTCACGGCACCCGGGAGCCCGCGGAGGACGCGTTGCAATTTCTTCATTCTTTGAAAGTTCAAGGGAGAAATCGCTAGGCGAAAGATATTGTCACCGTGAGACCGAGCTTGTGTGCCTACGGTTCATCAGTTACCAATTTGTTCCGCAAAGTTTCGTGGAATTAAAACCTTCGGCGAAGAGGAACATTCTATTTTCTGAGCGCGATCACGCGACGATTGCGGCAGTCTTAAATCGATCTCGCTTTATGAACGTTACGGGACGCGTGAGAATCGGGTCGTTGGATCGCCCGCGAGGGTAGTTTAGGAGGGGATGAAGTCGCGCGAAAGAGAACTCTCGGGTCTCTGCATGGAAAATTTCAATCTGGACGGCGCTCAGATAACTCGGTTGAATTTTTAACCGAGGGTAGCCCGGCTGCAGGACAATGCAGGGGGATGGGAGAGAGCCAGGTGGGAGGAGGCGGAGGAGGCGATGCGCGCGAAGACGACGTTCGGTCGATGCGCTAGGAAGGTGCAAGGGCGGAAAGGAGTCACTGCGATTCAATAAATGATACCACCGTTGGCAATGCGTGACCCCGTTAGAGAGGCACTTTACGGGCTGCACCGTCGACGTAGCCGTAGCTCTCAAAGAGTAATATCGTCCTCTGCGCGCGAGCTTCGGCGCATCAAAGTTTCAGCGGCCTCGCTGCGCGCGTCTCGCGCCAGTTTCTCAGATAAAATCTTTATTCGACGCACCGCGGCGTGAATCGCGGAAATTGCGGCCCGAGTGTCGATCCGAAGGCACACACGCGAGCGCAATCCGGAACTTGCATACGAAACGGACGACCGTCGCGATGTTATCATAAATATAATGAAAAAGCACACGCGATAATGCGTACAACATTATATATTATAATCGTGCGAGTATGTGAATAATTAATGCCATTGGGTAAAGGTATGTTACGCTGTAATTTCGAGGAAAGTAGCGGTTGTCTGCGAGCGAGAAATTGTGCATCGTTTGTAATTTCGTCGAATCTCGTTCCGGCGCGCGATATCAAATCCAAGTCGCAAGGGCGAAAGTTTAATCGAGTAGTCATTATGTTTGACCGGATTCGACGGAAGCAAAGAAATCGGGGAAGAGTGGCAGGGGGGGGGGTGGCGAATATGCGGAGCCCGCGCTTGCGCTGGGGTGCATATGTGTATATTCGTGTGCATCGAGGGCGAAAGAGAAAGAAAGAGAGGGGGAGAGGGGCGAGAGAGAGCTAATTGCATCGGTAAATCATCCTCTAACCAGGAGGGTGGGAGCCTAGTCGCCGCCACTGGCAACCCTTTATTCTGTGTTATTACAGTCTAAAGTTACCCCGTGTAATTGTTGCTGTTTAATTGCAAACTCTAAGTCGTCTCGTTACAGGACGCGCAGCGCTGCGAGTAATTGCCCTCTTCAAATTTACCTACCTACGTACCTGCTTTTTAGCGGCACGATCGCAGGCGCGCAGGGGTCGCACCGAATATTCCGCATCAGGCATATTTTATCGCACGCGCTCGCGCGCTTTAATTGCGCTCGTACATCATCCGCGACACGCAACGCGATTGTTACAACAAATATAATGGCTAGACTGAGTGTACACGGCCGTCTCAATTTACTTCTTCACAATCTCCATTCTCCCGGTTCCGAAAGCCCCCCCCCCCTCCTCCCCTCGCTGCGACTGTCGGCGATTCGTACTCGCGACCGCAAACGTCACGCGTCCGCGATTCTTTCCAAAGGACCCCAACGCCGCGACACGTCCCTCTCCTCCGTACGGATTCGTTTTTGATCCTGACGTGCGCGCCTACCCTACTACCCTTACCCTACCCCTACGGGCAGTCTCGCCGCGAGTCCCCGAGCCGCGAGGCGGGGGCATTGTCGAAGATAGACAATGCCGGACGATAAAAACGTAAAATTGATGCTCTTTTGTTCACATTGTTTGAGACGCCGCGCAACGTTTGCCACACGCCTGGACGAGCCATTGCTATTGGCTTGAAACTACATCCTCCACCTCCGGCTCCTCTATCATATCCCGCGTCCTGCTCCCTCTTTCTCGCTATCTCTCTGTGAGCTATTCTCTGCCGACGGAGCGGCTGCAGATTCTCTCTCTTCGCTCTATCTGCTCTCTCTCCTGGACGTTGTTTCCTCCCCAAAACGAGTCACTTCGTCCGTAAGCCAGCATTGTATCGCTTCGCTTGCTTTGTGCACTCGTTTGTACGTTTCCCGCCATTGAATCCCGCGACAGGTCTCCGCTGCCTCGTCGTTGCCACATATTGTTTACACGTCGTGCCGTGGCCCAGGGATAATTAAAACGATCGGAGAAAAAGAGTAACGGGTGATAACGCACGAGTTTGATAGATAGCGATCCGCGCGCGGATGATCTTACTCACTACAATTGAATTTTATCAATGCTGCGCCTTTCTACTACTCACTCTTTAGCAATGTACGATTTATGTGAGATCTAAAAGAAGTTAACATACGTGTTCTATTTGCAAATATGATTTCGATCGAACGCGAAAATAGGCGCTAGTCGGATATTACATAAGTAATCGGTCTTAAAAGATAATAGATGAGACGAGGACGAGATAGAGAAAGAGAGAGGGTCTATTTATCTTCTCTTTCCTTTTAAGAAAATTGTCAAGAAATTTATGAAACTTAACTAAGCTAAATTAGGATAAACTTAGAGAAAAAAAATTCTATTAAAAAAACGATAAAAATTTGGTATTTGAAATTATGATCAATCTTTACATTTCTCATCCTTTGATCAAAGGACGAAAACAATGAAGGTATATTACGCATTTTAGCAGATGGCGAACCGATGTCGCGGGGATGCGCGAGGACGTGCCGCTTAGATTTCACGACCGCGTCGGTCCGGAGAACGGCATCGCGAAAGAAGGAGAGCTCATGGCGCGGAAAGCGCAGAGTGATTTCCCAGCTGACCTGTAAAGCAACCTATCCCTTAAGCTCCCCCTTCCCCGTTGAGTCTGTCTCGCGGACTAGTAGTCTGTTCCCCGTGGCCGTTCCTCGCCCTCACCTATGGTCCAAGCGACGGGGAAGATGCATCGTCATGAAAGTGAACAATGGAAAAATAAAGAAGGATGGTTGGGTGAGGAAGGGAGTAGGAAGTGAATTTACCGATTCTAGTATTCCACCGGTTGTCCCGCGTTTTTACGTCGCGCAGTAATTTTTAATAATTGAGTTTCCCCCTCCAACAAATCTTATTTCTGTTTCCGGAATTCTTTCCATTCATCATTTAATAATACACACAAATCGCGGATTTTTAAATAAATCCTATGCGGTCACGCGCTGTATTTCTCTTTACACTTTCCAAACTAAAAGTGAGACTCAAAGTAAATCCATCATAAAGTCATGCTTCAAATCGGGGAATAAATGAAAAGGTTTCTCGCTAAAGAAAGATCGGATAATAAAGATAATCCTCGTTAGGAGAGTGGAAAATCTAGTGATCTATCTAGTATCTATAGGATAATTCTGTTGTGCGCACTCACCGATGAGTGCACTGCTGGCAGGCGAAACAGTCGAGATGATAGACGTTCGTTCTGGCCCTCATGACCATCTCGAACGCCGGTATTTGCTTATTACATGCCGCGCAGCATCCCGTGTTCCCGAAGAGCCTGAGGTAGTCCCTCTTACAGAGGATAAGATTAGCTTTGGTGTAGAGGGTAGAGCCAACTTCGCCTAACCTACAGTCGCAGCATCCGCACTTGAGACAGTCCTCGTGCCAGTAGAGGTCCAGGGCCTTGAGGAGGTACCTGAAGGACCGACCGTAGTTTTCGTTCTTACCGGCCGTTAAGTCTTGAAAATACCTCTTTTATCTCGATATTTGATACACATTTTTCGTAAAACACGGCTATAATATTTTTAACGAAGCGAGAAGAGAACCGCACGAAAGAGAGATCGGAGATCGATACCTCCGTCGTCTGTCCTTGCGACAAAAATAATATATTGCATGTAACAACGCAACAGACTTATTAACGAGGAAACGGGGGAGAAATAAACGAGACGTTTCCTTCAAAAATGCAAATTGCACTAAAATAGGTATGCCGTCATTTACCTCTCCGTAATTGTCTTCCCGCAGCCGGCGCACTCCTGCTGCGTCGAACCATTTTTATTCGTCTCGGATTTGCTCACGTCCATAGTCATCGTGATCTCAGCTACGGCGCCGTCTGAAATATTAAAAGCAAAAATCGAATCGTTTACAATTGTATTCCCATCTGTTGCTAAAAAAAAGAAATAGACATTCAAAGTAGCGATATAAAAGAATCCTTTAAAAAACCTGCTACAATTCCCTAGCATTGTGACAGAACTTCAAACAAATAATCGCTAACCACATCAGATTTATAACTGCCGAGTGCCAGTTTCGATAAATGCGAGACGAAATAAAACTTTTTCAGCAAGCCTCCTCCGAGAGGAGGCTCGGCTGGAGAGAAAAAGTCGCGCCCGCGACGAGAGAATTATACGCGCGGCGTCATCGTTTCGCGGCACCACTCGAAATTTGATTTTCCCCCGAGTTAATGAGAACCTCCCCGCGTATTCAGACGCGTCATATGCATTTGCGCCGTGTTTTTAAGGGGCGACACCGCGGACAGTTGGCGTGCCGTGCACGCCCGTTCCGCTGTTATAAGCGTCTCCGAGCGTCGTAAGTGGCTGACAGCACGCAATAATTAGCGCGGCTAATTGGAACCGTGTCTGCGCTCGTCCTCGCGCGCCCAGACTCCAATAAGCACCGATGCGCTCGCGTCACGAACGCCGCCGGAATCTTTCGCGATGCATAAAACATTTCCTTTTTCGTCTTGTTCCCTCTCTTCCCCCTCCCCCTTCTCTTCTCCCTTTTCTTTTCGATCTGCCGGCATCAGCCGTCCCGCGAAGCGGACGCACCCGACTCGGTCGGGTGTTCTACAGGCGAAAATAAATTTCTCCATAGCGCCAATTATTTTAATCGCTTAGTTTCACAATCGGAAACTGAAGAGCTTTATCCTATCCAAATGAGCTTCTTCTTCAAACGCTGCATTCTCACTCGGGAATGTTAACAGTGAATAATCGACTCGTAAAATTTTTATTTTGTATTTCACGCGATGAAATTAATATGTTATAATGGCATTCTCAATTCTTGGAAATCGTGGATTTGGATCGCGTGATTTGTGCCGCTACAGCAATCGCTTGAGGAACGAATTAAAAATGCGATTGTATCCGATTTAGATCGTAACGTTTTGGAGAATCTGAGGAGAGGGTAGGGGATGAAAATTGCATTTGCGACTGCGAGAATGCAGTTATGTTCTTCCGAGGCGATCCGTGTAACACTTGGCGATGACATAAGGGGGCCAGTAACCTTTGCCATTACCGCCACCGCCACCGCCGCCGTGCCGTACGGAAACGACGACGAGCAGGCGGACGCGCGGCGGGGGCTTAATTAATTAGCCGGATACTTTGAGTAACAATCCATTATTACATACAAACATCCTCGGCCTCGGGGCCGAGCTGCAGCTTTATGCTGCTAATTGGCCTTCTCAAAGCCGGGAGACCCGGGCACGAGTTATAAACGCCACTGCTTCCCTCTCTGGCCCCTCGCGGCCCGCAGCCACCGCACCGTACCGCGTCGTGCCGCACCGCACCGAATCCTCCGCTACCCCGCTCTTTCATCCTCTCCCGGTTCCAATTTTCTCTCTCGCTACTATCCACCACCAACCCCTTCTCTCTCTCTCTCCTCTCTCTCTCTCTCTCTCTCTCTCTCTCTTTCTCTCCATCTCACTTGTCCTTCTCTATCTCGTTATCTCGCTCCATCCTCTTCCTCCTTTCGCCTCTGCCTCATCCCCATCGCCGCATCACTTCAGCCGCGTGCTCCGCAATACACGTAAAACGCATACAATCGCGCGGATACGCTCGCCCACTCGCGCCCACCCCCTCTCACGTTCATACACATGCACTAAGACAAAATGGATGAGGAGATAGGCGAGGGGGTGCGAGAGGTGGACGAAAGGAAAGAGCAAACGAGATACGAAGAAGAGAAAGAGAGACGTAAGGGACGGGAGGAGAAGCGGGGTTGGACGGATAGCGCTAATAACGCGCTCGTGACGCAAAAAAAAGGAAGAAGTATAATTGCCAGCTCTCGTGGCAGGTATTTTTCAAATAGGACCCCGTCCGTTAATTGGAGGGCAAATTAAAGAGGCGCCGCCGAGGAAAAAAACATCATCCTCCCCCCCGCCTCGTTTCCTCCCGCGGTGCGCCTCCCACGTTGGTATATCCAAGAGCCGCCTCGTGATTTGTCAAACGACCCGTACGCTTCGTTTTTCCCTGGATCTAGTTTTTTTTAATGATTCTCCTCTCTTAGTCCGATTGACATCCCGATAGAATTTAAAAAAAAAAAAAATTGCGCGCACCGTACGATAGGCCGCGAAAAGACGTGGCTAACGATGACGGTTTTTAAGCTCTTTCCCGATTCAAAAAAAAATCCGGTAATGCTAATTGCGCGATCGATAACTGATCGCTCGGAATGAACCCGACCAGATGAATGAGTTCGCCCGTGGATAAATTCGCGACTGGGAGAAGCTCGTCTGTTCTCCGCGTTTCGCAAACGCTATAGCTACGCACACAACATATTTGATCGCGATGGTTGCAGAGATACAATAAAAAAAAAAATAGATGTTACTTTATCCTTTTTATTGGCAAATAGCGAATATCGAAATTGCCGATACTCGCGAACAAATTAAAAGTTCAATGCGTAGGTACCAAAATACCAAATAAAAAAAAAAAAATACAGGGAGAAATTAATCATTCGGTGAAAAATTTCGAGCCTGTTGCTGCGAGAATTCGCACATCGTACACTGATTAAAATTACTCGCCTGTCGCGATCATAAGTTCATCTGGCTCGTTCAAAAACAAATGATCTAAAATCGGAAAAATGCATTTAAATCGGTGAAATATTAATATCTAAAAAAAAAAAATTTTTTTAATTTCTGCAGTATCTTATCCTTGGAAGGGAATGCCAGATTAGGCGAGAAAGTTTCTTAAATCGATAACACAGTCAAATGAAATGTATTTAGAAACTTGTGTAAAAGTCCCCTAAGAAATGAGAAAAGGGAGAGAATATAATTTTTTTCACGAATTTCATAACATCGGGGTATTATGATTTGTTTGCCACTCTGAGTGATGGGCTGCTTTACACAAGAACATTTCGGATATTGGTATTATCTTGTGGATGTCGTCGCGGACAACGTCGATGCTTATAAAACGAATTGCAAAAGGACGAAATTCGCTCGTCGCGATTTACGGCGTCTTTTACTACTGTCGGTCTTATGGAAATTAGACTCTTTACTACGGCGATATCCTCTCGAATCTCCCCAAGAATTTTCAGGGATCTTTTAAAACGCGGCGATTTCATCATAAACAATGCGTCGCGCCAGACAGGAAATTTCACGTATCCGATCCGCGATAAGAATGGAATGATGTTAATAATAAAAATCTTTCCGTTTGTTGATATTATCAGCGTTCGCCGTATTATATTTTGGACGATTGGAAACTAGCGGCCATCGTTTTATTTCTCCGGGCAAGGAGATCTCGAAGAAATTCGATCTTTCACCGATAAAATCGATCTCACGTCTCGGGCGCGTTGCGCGACAGTTCTCGTCTGCGAGATAGCATAATCGTAAAATGGCAAACTGATTTCGAGCGTTATATGGTTTTTCTGTGTCGGCGCGAACGGTCAATCTTCCCCTCTCAAATACGGGCGTACCTCGATATTCGATGGTGGAATCAGCAGCGGATACGGACTTTTTATTCGGTCAATATAAGGAGCACCCTATCGAGATTACGAAATTGCTCTAACAGCAATATAGAAGAAGTCTACCCCCGCGCTTCCAGACCTCCCTGCCCAAACTTGCGTCTCCCGTCGTTCGTCTATCCGGGGATCCCGTCGGAGCGGGCACAGAGCCGCTCTAGGTGGTTTAATAAAAATGTCAAATATAAAGTAGCCGGTGGGGACGGACGTTTAGGAAATAAATAAATGTAAAAGAAAGTCCGTGGAGGAGGAAAGAAGAAACTCCGGGAGCACACGGGACGGACAAATACGTAGACGGATATACGTGGACGGAGGAGGGCGGCGACGACGGGGAGGTGAAGTCGTCTCGCAGGAAAAACGGGAATATAGTGGACTCGATATATTATTACGGTTAAAGTCGGCGTGACGCATCCGGCTGACCTAAACTGCGAGTGACTGCACTCGCCAATTCAATCGGAAGCTTTCTTACGTCGGGAACTCGTATCGAAGATGCTCAATAAAATATGGCGCCTCGCCATAGCACAATACAACGGGATGGACGGATACAGTGAGAAGTCCGTTTATTAATACCTTCCCCTCCCCCCCTCCGGATTGGAAAATTTCTCTTTAAGAGGAGAAATCGGAGAGAAGGGATGGTAGGCTGTAATTTTGGGGCTTAATAATGATCCGACGGTTCTCTCCCCCGGCTGTGGATCCCGTGTCATTATACTATGAAGTGGAGAGACTGCTAATTAGTCATTAGCGTAGGAAAAAGACACCCTCAACGGGTGCTGCTGCAGCTGCGGAACGACGAGCAACTCTACCCGACGCTGACGACGACGACGACGACGACGACGACGACGACGACGACGACGACGACGACGACGACGACGACGACGACGACGACGACGACGACGACGACGACGACGATGATGAGGATGGTGCACGGCAAACGTTGGGACAAACGAGGGTGTAGCTGCGCTGGCCTACGTCTAATTGGACCCTAGCGACGTAAGTTCCACTAATTGAGACCGGCCTCGTAACTATCAACACCGCTACAAGGGTCCGTTCGTAAATTCTGAATGGACGAGCAACGATAACGATACGGATATACCGCCTTCGCTGATTGGGCGAACACTGGCAAAACTACGTCGCGACGTTGCAAGAGCTATCCGTAGTCATAGTCGTCGTCGTCGTCGTCGTTGTCGACGACGTCGCCGGATGAGAGATAATTACAAGTTGTAAATTTACTATATTACTACGGTTAATGAGGGCGCGCGTAATTAGAACGAATACTTGTTCCACGCTGCGCACTTCAAACTATGTAGGTAATGGTCGATTAATTAATAACCCCCGACGACCGGCCCTTAAACCACCGCCCGTAGACGCACGGACACACGACCGATTGCGACTTCTTCGTTTCACGGTACAGATATTTTGAAGATGAGAGCGCGAAATAAATTATTTCTTAACTCTTCTTTATCTCGAGAATCCCTCCGCGAGGACGTGGAGGACATCGGAGGGTATGCCGAAATAAAGGGCGAAGAAATGAATCGACAAAAAGGAAATGTAAGATGAGGGCGACGAGAGAGAGTAGAGCAAAGCCAAATTTTAATTCGTCCCTGACAAAGGGGGGGGGGAGAGAGAGAGAGAGGAGGGGACGGGACAACGAACGGAGG